CTACCGACCCCAAACCTTAGTAGTGCGTGTGTGTGTGTCTACATAGAGCTAAAAGACATGGACTAAAATCCACAAAAGTCTTATGTAAATTTAAAGGCGAATTTTAGTGAAAGTACGTGTGCATTACATCTCATTGCTATGGTTGACCAGTGCTGTGTTGTCGATACGCTCCCATCACATCATCTAAACTGGCGGAGCTCCAGCGTGTGAGTCACTGAATGCTGGAAACACTCATGTGTGTCTTCTCAAGCTTCATTCACACCCCTGCAGAGGAGCAATCTGGGATCTCGAACCCTTCTCTACCTGCTTAGCCATCTAACACTCGTTATATCTCACTGTATCAGTGACAGAAGCATTAGTAAACAGATGGAATGGAAGCAGTTACGGCTGGAATGTAGAACATTTAGACATACTTTAGAGTTCCTGAAATATCATTAAGAGAGAGCAGGGTGTGGTCAGTGTTGACTTCAGGTGTACGTCATGAGCAGGAGTTTGTTTGAGTATTTATTGTTGCTATGCTACGGAGCCTACATCATATTTATGTAAGGAACAGAAAAGAAAATGTATCACTTTTACGTCATCCACCAAAAACAAATCCATAACCTCTCAGAAGGCATAATACAGATTTATAAAGATATAGGACTTTTTTTTTTTTTTTATCAAAATGATCATTCTGTCATCATTTATTCACTCTCGTGTTGTTCAAACCTGTATGACTTTCTTTCTTTCCCTGGAACATAAAAGAAAATATTTGGTAACCAAACGGTTTCGGTGCCCATTGAACAGAAACAGTTCTCAAATACCTCCTTTTGTGTTTCGCAGGAGAAAGAAAATCGATAAATAAATAAATACATAAATAAAGTTCTTAGTATTTTTTGTCTTGATTTCCAGAACAAACATTCTTAAATCAAGACTTCTTTCATTTAATCAGTTAAATCAATCAACTTGAGATGCAGATATTTTGCCTTGTTTACTGACAAATTAATTAAAATTAGACGAGTATTTGCTTAAAACAAGAATAAACATCTTGCATTGGCATAATAAAAAAATCTTTGTTTTTTATGTGAATTAAGTTTTTTCTGTTTATTTTTATTTCCCCGTTGGCAGATATTTTTTCTTGCTTTCAGCAAAAACAATACATTTCTGTGTCATTTTGAGCATAAACACTTAAGTTTGATTCATTTTTTCAGAAAACAAGACTTTTTGCTTCTCGGGTAAATTATTTAAAAATCTTGCTTTAAATTTTTTTTAAATATTTGTATCAGAAACCAAGACTAAAATACTAAGTGATATTATTTTTTGCAGTGTACAGAATGACAAGAGGGTGAGTAAATGATCATGGAATCTTAATTTTTGCTTTAAGTGACTGGCTAATTGCTTAATATAACATTAAAATCCTACTAAGTGAGAACACACAGATTAAGTAAGAGAATCGATGCTAAAATACACAACTTGGGACTGCATTCATATCTGTTTAAGCCCAGAGCGGTACTCGCTTATAAAACTGAACCATCTTTTTGGGACTTGTTGGTATACAGCTCAGAATTAATTTGAAGCATCATCGTGTTGTATTGTGAGCCTGGAGTCATTTCCCAAATGCAGACAGCACTGGAGTGTATAATAGGCTATTCCTCTGCAATCCTCACCCCTACTGTGTACACATTTGCATGGGTTTATAACAATTCATGATTGCAAAAACCTTAAACCTCTTGCATACAGGAGCTTGGTTTACCCGACCAATGAAATCTGAGCTGTGTAAGGCGTCGACGTGCTGATACTATAGAAAAAGCAACACAACACGGCTGCATCATGTTACTATATATGTAGCACAGATGAATAATTGGGTTTTGATTTACAGACAATGCATTAATAAATAGCTTGTTTATTTTGTCATCATATGCATGTTATTTAAAAAGCAATGCATATTGCATAACCTAAAAAGTCACAACAAGGTAAACCCACAGACTTGAGTGTACTAGTGTGTCTGCATAGGTGGTGATGACGAAACCACGGCCAGCCAATAGCATCGCAGTATTTATTTATTTATTTTTGTTTGTTCAAGCAAAAGGACAGATTACACCCCAGTGGACAAATGACCAGAGTCACTCCGCTCACTTAATGTGGGCTATTTATTTATTTACACCTTCTTATCTACTTAATACGTCTGAAATTAATTAAAAGGATCCACTTTTATTGTTAGTAGGTCGTATTATAAGCTGCAAAGGTAGAATCAGATTTAGCCATAAACTGTAAACATCGCGCAGTTATTATAAGTCTCGATAAATCAACATAACAAAGGAGCCAGTATAATAATATTATGTTTAGATCTCCTACGTGTGGGAGAAAGATAACTAGGGACGCCAGCCATAAATGTACTAAACGCTTATTGGTCGAGGGGCGGGTCTCTTTGGTTGTTGACGTAGCGCGCGGCCAATCAGCACGGAGAACTCGGAGGCGACTGCGTGACGAAAGCGCGTTTGTCCAATGGTAAGCGCCGCTGAGGTTTTGACCTCTGAAAACCGCATCACCGCCCCCATCATGTCCGTGGCGGAGGAGCGCTATAAAGGAGATCCAGGCAGGAGTTTAAAGGGCAGAGTTGTAAAAACTCCTAGGCAGTGGGGAGTCGGATTGCCTGACAACAGACTCCAAAAAAACAACACGGTTCCACGAAGAATAAACAGCTATTGTTGACGCAACCGAACTGGAATAATCTTGTCCATAACTGCTAGCTAGGAACCGAAGAGGAGAGGAAAGCACGAGCGTTTAATGTAAGTATCTGGCTGTGGATTACATATGGCTTTGCTTCAAATGGCTAACGCTAGTTTACTCAAGAATTGTGTTAGTCAAACCTGTTTGACTCGGTGGAGCACGAAAGGAGGCGTTAGGCAGAATGACAGCATTCGTTTTAAACAAAATGCATTGAAGTACAACAGTGAGCGAGGCTGTCAGTCCCCTAAAATCATCCTTTTGTGCTCCACAACAAAGCGAGGACGCGAAGGCAAACATCTGACGGAGCTGTCATTTTGAGTGCGCTGTCTCTTTAAGAAACGCATTGAAATTCTGATTCCGCGTAGACGGAGAGCTGGCTGTTCTTGATAAATGATCGGTTTCCTCGCGAATGGCTCTCTGAAACCGTGCAGTCATGTGAGCTGCTCTCTGTGTCTCTAATGTGTGTGTGCTTTACGGAAATGTCCGATCAGCCCTGCTTGACCCGTACGAATCCCGTGCCAAAGTTCATTTTTACGCCTAAAACCCGTCGCCATCTCCAGAGCGATCGAGCTCCTCCGTTTACAGTTCTGTCGTCAGAAAGCGTCCAGAATGTTCCCAATACCTATTCGTACTCGCAATGGCCGCGTCTCAAATTCTACGCGTACAGCACGACGCAGCCGACGTCTGTGCAACCGCACTATTTAACGCGTTTCGCTCGCCATACGCGAAGGTTTACGCAAAGATTTAGCGTTATATTTGGTGTGCTGGACTCATTTGGTCAAGGCTACACACCCCGTGATGCTATTGGTCGCGAGCTTCGGGAAATCCGATCGCAGGGGTGTTGCGCAACGCGTGTCGCATTGTGTTCGAATGCCCTATATTCACATAAAGGCGTTTTTACGCAACAGTTGGCGGAATAAAGCAGGGAAGAGAATCCGCGTTATGCAATCTCCCTGATGCACAGTCCATTTAAACCTTGCATTTAGGCCTCTCACTCTTGTGTCTGTATCAGCTGTGTTTGTTTACATATGATTAGGCATGGTTTATGAGTCTGCCTCTCAATACCGTGCCTCTTTTCCCCCTTCAAGGAGCGCGAGAGGATTTTCCTGTGTTACAGCAAGCGTTTCTCGTCCACCAGCACTTCTGGGTCCCCACTGAACACCACACAGACAAACAGCTATGCAGCTCGAAATCCAAGTAGCGCTGAACTTCATCATTTCGTACCTGTACAACAAACTCCCGCGGCGGCGAGTCAACATCTTTGGCGAGGAGCTGGAGAGGCAGCTGAAGAAGAAATACGAAGGACACTGGTACCCCGACAAGCCATACAAAGGATCCGGGTTCAGGTGCATCCACGTGGGCGAGAAGGTGGATCCGGTGGTGGAGGAAGCAGCCAAAGAAAGCGGGCTGGACATCGAGGACGTCCGCAACAACTTGCCTCAGGACCTCAGCGTTTGGATCGACCCTTTCGAGGTGTCCTACCAGATTGGGGAAAAGGGAGCGGTTAAGGTGCTATACGTGGACGATAGCGGCGAGAACGGCTCCGAGCTGGATAAAGAGATCAGAAACAGTTTTAACCCGGAGGCTCAGGTCTTCATGCCAATCAGTGACCCGTTGGGCGTCTCGTCCGAGTCCAGTTCGCCGTCGCCGCCACCGTTTGGCCAGTCGGCGGCCGTCAGCCCGTCCTTCATGCCGCGCTCCACCCAGCCTTTAACCTTCACCACAGCCTCGTTCGCCGCCACCAAATTCGGCTCCACCAAGATGAAGAACAGCAGCCGCAACGGCGGCAAAGTTGCACGCAGCTCTCCCACCAACCTGGGCCTGAATGTCAACAGCCTCCTCAAGCAGAAAGCCATCTCCGGCTCCGTGCATTCGCTCTACGGATTCGGTCTGGGAGCTTCGCCTCCGCAGCAGAAAGCGTCTGCGCTCTCGCCTAACGCCAAGGAGTTCGTGTTCCCCAACCTCCAAGGCCAAGAGAGCTCCGGAGATGCCATGTTCCCGAGTGAGAACCCCCTCAGCCCTCTGCAGTACAGCAATGCCTTCGACGTGTTCGCGGCCTACGGGAGCATCAACGACAAGTCGCTCATGGATGGCTTAAACGTAAGTCTCAGCAACATGCAGTATTCAAACCAGCAATTCCAGCCGGTCATGGCTAACTGATGTTCGGATGATTGTTGGCAAAAGGAAAACGCAAGGCAAAGACGCACCACTGTGGATTTGGAAACCAAGATTCCTGTTAGTCACTGATAAGCGCATGTGCCCAAGGGTGTTTGTTTCACTCTATTTGATTATTTTCTCCCTTCGATCTTTCTCTGCCCCCTTGAGTTTGTACTAAAAAGCTTGTGTTACTCTCTCTCACACACACACACACACACACACACACTCTCCGAGACAGACACACACACTCTCTCTCAGACACACACACTCTCAGACACACACACACTCACACAGACACACACACACACACACACTTACATGTCCGAGTTCAGTTACATCGGTCAACAAGCATCTTTTCTTTTCCTTTTTTGCCAATAAAGCAAAAAATGATTTTTTTACTACCTTTTGGAAGAAAAATACTCTAAAACATTGAAAAAAAAAAAAAAGGAAACACAGAAGCTTCAAGTTCTGGCCTCTTACAGTATTTTAAAGTTGGTAAGACTTGGCTGATTTTTAAGAAATTGGCACTAATGCATATATATATATATTGTTTCTACAACATGGTATTGCATTTATATCTTTTTACTACTCCAGTGATCTGTGATGGCTGCAGAAGCTTTATCTTATAATATATTTTGGTTTTTCTTTTTTTTTTTAAATTGCTAAAGAAATTCATCTTTAAAAACAGATAAAAAAATTCTAAAGATTGTGTACAGAATATTCCTTTAGTGTTGGGATTTCAGTGTAGGAATATGTGCTTTTTTGAAACAAAAAGTTGTATTTTCTGTTAAGAGTTCAACAGATTTTTGCTATATTATGGACAATGTAATCGTATCTATTAATTTTGTACCTACATTGTGCAATACTTGATAAAATATGGTATAACAAAGTATTTTGAGTCAGTGTCTTACATGTCAAGAGGGACTGAAATAGTTTATATTACGTTTGTATTAAAATGCTTGAAATAATAATATGCTTGTCTTTTATTTTATTTTCTTTTTTTTTATTTGACATTTGCACCCTGGCCTTTTTCAATAAAAGAAAATTTAGGCAAGAATGAATTACTGGTGTTTCTTTTTCTTCCATGTTACGAAATGAGCATCATTCATCAGTAATTTAATCATTCATGTCATGATTTGCAGGATCTTACATTTGATCGGATATCGACATGCTTAAATAAAAGACTTTGACGAGAGAGAATATGATTCAGATTCAAAATGATTGCTTAAGCAAAACATAGCCTCTAATGAACATGTAAGGTACTCAAAAACACTTCTAAAAATGACATTTTTCCTAATTTCTCAATGTTTTTGGCAGATTAGACTGGAGCAAATGATGAGCCAAAAGCTGGCCATGCATAATCATTTCTGACCTTCTCAGAATTAAATGCATGCATTAAGAAGAATTGAACGTGATAATTCCTGTCTGACAGCAGCTGAATGTTGTGCTAAACAGTAAAACACTGCAGTGCGAAATGAGCGTGTGCTTTCTGTAAGGTGACCTTTAGAAGATTAATAAGAACTTTGGCTGATTCATTCATTTCTGTGTCTGTGTTATAACTAAAACTAATGATCAGGTGGCATTTCCTCATGGCTCTTAAACTCTTAAAGATCTGAACTGTAAACCATTTTGGAGCACAATCCCAAATGCGGTGAAACAAATCACTCGTGTTTGCTCTTATTGCATTGCATTGAGAGGCTTATTGCAATAGTGCAGCGCAACAATTAAGCTTCAAATGGCCACTTTGTTTGTGCAAAGCCTCCGTGAGTTTTTAATACTGCAGTTTGAGACTTCGCTGATGCCAGCGTGGACGCAGATACAGCAACATCTGCTTATCTCAAGTGTGTTTTGGCAGTGGCAGTTATTTTGGTTGCAACTTAAGCATATCAACATGAGGAAAACCAGGTTATTTGACTTAATGTGTTTTGGTTGTATGCACTAGGCTTGGATCGAAAGACATGAACAAACACCAAATCTTTTTATTACAGCGACCCGATGCATGTTTGATATTGTCTAGAGTGACTCCAAACCGTTAGGGAACGATATGTAAAGCATGAAAGAAAATAAAAGATGCATACTGCAATAGAAAGTCCACATTATTTCTAATATGTGGACTTTCTATTGCAATATGCATCTTTTATTTTCTTTTATGCTTTACATATCCTACCCATACAGCAAAAAAAAAAAAAGAAAAATTCAAATTACAAAGAAATTTTTTTTGCTAAAATACGTTCCAAGATATATTTACTTAAATATGTTTTCTACTACTATATTTTTGGCCATTTTTTTTTTGCATATTTAAAAAATATATATATATAAATATATTTTTTAATAAAAACATATTTTATATATAAAATAAATTTTGCCCTCCATATATTTAAATCCAAGAAAATACATTGAAAATATGTCACATAAAATACGTATTATTTATAACATAACACACTAGTATAAAATTCAGCAAGAAACATACTTTACAATGTTCCAAAAAATTACTGGATACTGTATACATATTATTATTATTATTAAATCATTGTAATCTAGGCTTTTCCATCCACATTTGCATTCAGCCCATATATTGTGAGACTGGAAATGTATTTTCTTGCACCTGAAATACATTTTTAAATATATATTGATATATTAAGGTTGGAACTAAATATATGTCAATTTCAAAAATATATTTAATTGAGCTTCACTGCTTATAACATATATTTAGCAAAAAAATGTAAATAATTGTTTTTTTCCTGGCCAAAATATATATATGTCATATGATATGAGGCACATTTCAGGCGCTATTGAAACAATTTCCCGAGAATCTCATAAACATATAGATGTAATATTATACAAAACACTTCAGATTTAGTTTCCAGCTCCTTCAGATCCATCGCCAGTGTCCTTAAAAAGGAGATATACTATAGTAAAGCACAAGCATTTGAAGGCAGTGCAAGTCACTTTACCACAACGTGATCTTTCCCAGCGTGCTGCAGATCTTTCAGACACACACTGTACGCTATGAGAGCAGTCCATCAAGGTCAGTAACAGGTCAGGATCTGGACACAGTCAGATCAGAATACCTCCGATGGGCCTTTATGTGCATCAGCAGCATTACACCGTCCGCTGCAGACATGCACACAGCTTTGAGCTGCATGTGAAATGCATCGGCACGTTAAGTATTGTTCTCAGTCAGAGGTGTTTTTCTGTAGTCTTGCTCTTATGTGCGTGAAGTTCAACACCCTCAGTAAAAATGTGTGACTTCTGCATGAGGAAGAGCTTGCAAGTCAGGAACATCTGGTGAATGATACTAGACATTTTGTAACTTGCATAATGTAAAAAATAAAAATTTTTTGAAGTTGTAAATAAAACAACGATTATTGGAGTATGTTTTACAAGAAAATACTATTTCAGTGTATGCAAAAGACCACTGAAAAATAGGCGAATCAGAACATAGCACCGACTGTGACGTTACAGTCGGGATCACTAATAGTTACGCCCCCAACATTTGCATAAACCCGCCCATGTTCTATGCCAGCCGCCAGCCGAATCATCAGAAGTTCTGCAGGTGTTGCGAAGAAACAAGCGAGGATAATCGCGAAAATGACAGATCATGGAAATAAATATAATGTTCCAGGCTGTGCAGGGGATGTGAAGTGCAGGGATGGGTTGGTGTCTGTATTCAGAAAGGCACGGAAAATCCTAGGGTTGTAAATGGACATGTAAACCCATTTCTGGAGATTGTTTGCCCTTAACTAAGCCACACACCTTCTTATGTAGATATCAGAGAACGATTTAAAATATTGTATCAATGCATTCTATGGCACCTTTAATTATCTGTTAAATTTGCTCGCAATTTCTGAGTGAAAGTTGTTTGTATGTCAAATTGTTTTAGAGTATACAAAAAAAACAAAACATTTTCCATCAATTGTTCATGCTTGTCTCAGGTAATAATAATAATAATAATCTATATATCTATGTATCTATCTATAAAATTCAAGATATTTTTTTAATTTATAGAAACAATGCATTCCCCCATACCAAAAGAAACTTAGTTTCTAAACCTATTCAAGAAAATATTGTTCTTATAATTAAAAAAAAAAAAAAAAGCTTATTTATGTATTATTTATTTATTTTTTATTTTTCAATTTAATTAATTATTTTTATAATTATTCATTCATTCATTCCCACTTATTTGGAATAACGCACTAAAGTTACCATTTTTAGGTAAGATTTACGTTTTTTAAAGATATTTCTCTAGATTATATTATTGCACAGCTCTTTATATAAAGTTGGATATAAGTATGTCCAGCTTTATCTGCATACGTGCAATACACTCATAAACCGATATATGATCCAATCTCAACTGCTTGACTTTTGGAATCATCTCAAAATGTAACTATATTATTGCACAGCTCTAATCTGCTAAATGCAATGATAAGGCATGACGATATTAAGATATTAAACATTCGCATCATGATTTTCTGGAAAGCTGCTTTGAAGCAACACATATTGTGAAAAGCGCTACAAATGAATCTATCTATTGACTTCAAGAATCATTCACAATAACATAATTCACAATCTTTCACTAAACACTCACCCACACATCTCAGGCCGATTACAGGCGAGCTGATGGCGTGACGTGCGCGAGAGCGAAGCATCATTGTTACAGATGGCTTATAGCTCAGCTCATAACGCTCAGCCGCTAATAGAGCACAACAGCAGCGCTTAAGAGCTCAAACAGTTACCACAGACCCTCTTACACAACTTACACAGCGCCGCCGCTGATGTCTTTGCTGTTCTGGCCTGTGTAATTTCAATGCTTCCCTACAGCTCTCTCCAGAAGCTGCGACACAATTCCCTGTGTAATCTAGCGGCATTAGACGATGTGTCTGTGTCTGTAAACCAGCTTTGACTTCATCAGAGCCGAGCCGATCATGTCCTGACGTCTGTAATTCTAGTGAATCATTCATTCTAACCAGTCCACTTCTCTCATATGTAGTGGCAGAAAGTTTGATTCAGTTTAGTTTGCTTAAATGATTTGTTTAAATGAACAGATTTACAAAAACAATTACCTAATTTGCCAATTGAGTCCTTGTACTATGTACTGTTTTTTACTTTTATAATTTTTGTACAGTTATTTAATATTTATATATTTAATATTTTGATATTTATATAATAATTTCAATTGTGTGTGTGTGTGTGTTTAAACATTTAATTTAATTTAATATGCATTTTACCTATTCAAGTTTGATTCAGTCATCCTTATTTAGATTCAGTCCTGTGTTTTTGAATATTAAAATTCTATGTTTAAATATTTATACAACAATTAGTTATCATTTCAATTACACACACATACATAATTTTAAGTTTTTATATTTTATCCTATTTTTATATATATACTGATTTTGTAAAGTTTGATTCAATCATTCATTTAAAATGTTTTATTATTTCAAATTATGATTTCCTTAGTTTCGCCACACTTTTAAAGAGCTTCTCAGCACTGTATCTCAGTAAAGCTCGTGACGGGACGCTGTCTGGTTCTGCTTTCCCATCTGACGCAGGCCATCGCTGCTTTAATCCTCCTCGTGTGCCACCGTAAGCCTTCCTTTAGCTCTTTATAAATGGGTTTGAGTTCAGGAAGCGTTGAGTCGTAATATGGGCTCACAAGGAAACACCCCGTATACGTCAGAGCCGAGGAATTCCTCTCTGATTCAACGCAAAGGAATCCCGGTCAGGTGCTTTGTGATGTATAGGAAACTATCTGGCGCTTTAACGCACAGGGCATGACCTCAGTGTCACATGACACACACTACCAAAACATTAGGCTTTTCTTAGCCCGAGGGCCGTGTTTTGGCTCTGTTTCTTGGAGTTTGCTTGTGAAACCTCATCTTAATGTGGTCTAATGCAACTGCAATGTCATACTAGGATCCGGCGAGGTAAATAAATCAGTGCTGCTCTCAGAGGATCTCACCTGTCTAAGTTATTCAGCAGCACAGAAAGCCAAGGCCTCACTGATGTGCTATATGATTTTCAATAAAGGTCATAATAGGATGGAAAAATCCATGACACGTATGACTTCTCCTGAAAGAGTAGAAGCACATATCGTTGCAAATTTAAATAGCAAGAGTTTTAAAAGTGACCCAGTTATTTGAAATTGGGTATCAAAATCTGTTTTTAACAAAAATTATTTTTGTCTTGTTTTCCAGTGAA